TGTTTTATGATTACACAAAAAAAACTCTTAATTGCAATATCAAATGCACTCTAAATTTAATTATTTCTCTTTAAATTTTAATATTTGAATTGGATTTATTAGGAGTTCGATTTTCTTCGACTGCTTAAAAATTATTTTCCTTCTCAATGATTCGCCATGTAAAAAAAAAAAAATTATATATCAACCCACATTATTATGTCCTAAAGATATTACGTTGTGAGTAATTATAATCATAGAAATTTGGAAATGAAATACCCAAAGTACCACGGAAGCGCGTTGTAGCCGCCAAATTTTCTGTTTCCCCTGTAATGAAAAGTAGTTTTGTTTTGTCAAAAAAAAAAAACAAAGAAAAGTAACGGCCACGTCATCGCTTGAAATCTTTACCATTCTGGATTCCTCATCTCCAACGCGTACAGATCTACCTGCATTTTTCCAACTCTACAAACAATTCTCAAAGCCAAAATCAATCTCAAGGTCAGACATTTTTCTTTCTTCATCTTTCGTCCTTCCCCTTCGAATCTTCATGGATCTTGCGCCGGAGGAGCTCCAATTCCTGTCATTGCCGGACATTTTGAGGGAATCGATTGCAATCCCCCGACGATCCCCAAAGACCTTCTATTTCATAACCCTAACCCTGATTTTCCCTCTTTCTTTTGCCATCTTGGCTCACTCCCTCTTCACCCACCCCATCTTGGCTCAACTCGAGGACCACCCCTCAGCGGACCCAGCTCAGACCCGCCACCAGTGGACCCTTTTGTTGATTTATCAGTTCTGTTACCTCATCTTTCTCTTCGCCTTCTCGCTGTTGTCCACTGCTGCTGTTGTGTTCACCGTTGCGTCGCTTTACACTTCAAAGCCAGTGTCTTTCACTTCAACTATTGCGGCCATCCCCAGGGTTTTTAAGCGGCTTTTCATCACCTTTTTGTGGGTTTCGCTTCTGATGCTTGTTTACAATGCTATTTTGATCATTCTCCTGGTGATTTTTGTCATTGCAGTTGATGCCCAGAATGCGTTTCTGGTGATTTTCTCTTTTGTTGTTATTATGGTTCTTTTCTTGGGTGTTCATGTGTACATCACGGCTTGGTGGCATTTAGCTAGTGTGGTGTCGGTGCTGGAGCCCATTTATGGGTTTTCTGCAATGAAGAAGAGCTATGAGTTGCTGAAGGGCAGGGTGAGGATGGCTTGCATATTGGTCTTTTGCTACTTGGCAATCTGTGCAGTGATTAATGGTATTTTCGGGCAAGTGGTCGTACATGGAGGAGAGTATTTTGGTGTTTTCCAAAGGATTGTGGTGGGAGGGTTTCTTGTGGGGGTTTTGGTGATTGTGAATCTGGTTGGCTTGCTGGTGCAGAGCGTCTTTTACTATGTCTGTAAGAGTTATCACCATCAGGGCATCGATAAGTTGGCTTTGCATGATCACCTTGGAGGATATCTTGGGGAGTATGTGCCTCTGAAGAGCAGCATTCAGATGGAGAACTTAGATGTCTGATAAAAACAGATCTGTATGAAATGGTGTAGAATGAAAATATCTTTGTTATTGGTATGTGTAATTCTCACTCTCTGTGCTCTACGGATATCTGTTCCTTTTGTTTTTAATCTTTTCGCAATAACAGTTTCATATACATGTTTTGTTTAATGTGTAGCACGTGTGTGTCATAGTGCAATTTACAATAGAAATTGTGCAATGCCTTTTGTTCTTAACAATTGGTTTTAGATTTAGGAATGAACCTTATAGTTGATGCTTACAGGGGAACAATCTTCTTATTTTAGATATTGCTGTAATCAAGTGTTAAGGGAGATGGTGTCTTTTAGGCATTTGGTGCTAACAATTTTGCTAAGGATTGTAGTAGGCAACTAGAGAGCGTATAACATAAGGGGTCGCTGATTTCCTTGCTTTTTGCTCAGTCAACGCCCTTAAGGGAAGTGGTAATGGACTGATATGAAAACAGGGATTAGCGATCGCCACATAACCAGATAAGGTAGTTTCTGTTTAGCTTTTCAACAATTTAGAGGCAACTTAAATTCTATGGTCCATGCTTTGAAAAATGGTTGTATCCAAAATTTGCAATGAGTCAATGACTCATTTTTATCCATGGATGCCCTGAATGAGGAAGTAACCAATGTCATTGGAGTGATTAAACTTTGACTTGTAATATAATTTGGGGGAAAATTGCTATTTAGCTACTTGTAGTTCCAAGAAAGTGCACATAAAGACTTATTTTAAAATGTGCACATAACATACTAGCAGAGTCGTAGTTCTGGGTATGTGCAAATAAAGAGCTGAGGTTTCAAAATGTATGCATAAATGATGTGGGAGCATAGAGTTCTTTTTAATGATTAGTTTTAGGGTTGTTTGTTTTGCATTAAGTTTGAGTTTTTTTTGGAGTCGAAGTTTTACTTTTAGGAAAGTCATGTGGATAGCATGTAACTTTTAATTAGGATTAGAATTAGTTGGTTATTAGAAGTTTAAATTAGTATTAAATTAGGATTCTTGGCTACTGTTAGTATGTATAGTTATCTTTAGATCTCTAAATCAGTTTTTGTTATGAGATTTTAGTTTGAGAATAAACTTGAGGTTAAAAACCTAAGTTTTCTTGGTTCCATCTTTAATTTTACGGAGTTCTTAGTTTCTGTTTGTTCTACCCCTATCTTCCCTGCATCAAATTGGTCAGAGCTATGGCTGGTTGTGGCAGAGGAAACAAAGGCTTACAAGCAGAATTAACTGAGATGCGATGTATGATTGAGGACATGTCGCAAGCTGTGCAAGCTTTACAGCAACAGGAACACATGGGAGCCCGTATGGAGATGCTGGAAGGTGACCATAACCTTGCAGACACACTGGAAGGTAGTCTGGAGGATGAGTCCGTGGATGGAAGGGATGATAACCCTTTTCATGATGCTGGAACCACAAACCAAGTGGCGAGAGGTGGATTGGAAGAGTGGTTGATACATGTCCTTGATTTGTTTGAAGAGGAAGGTGGTGACATGTTAGAACCAGTTTATGATGTTTATAGTGATGAAATTGAAGAAGTGAACATTCTTTCAATTCTGGAAGAATCTTTAATGATTCAAGGAATTATGGCAATAACTAACGAAGAAAGACAAGATTGGAGAAGTCATTCTTTAAAGGAAGACAATCAATAAAAAAAATATCTAGCTGACAGCAGGATAATTGGTTACGCATCTAATGAGAAATTTGAAGCTAAAAGTCAAGAGGCAAGAGTCATATATGCTGTTCTAAATAAGCTATCAGGAGAAGAACAAAAAGGAGAAAATTCTATGCAACCTAATGAAAATCTGCAGCTATTAGAAGAGATCAAAGGGTCAGAAAATAAGCAACTACCAGAAGGGATGCTGTCAATGTTGAACATTCAACATGCCTTTGATTTTATTCCAGCAGCAAGTTTAACTAATCTGCCTACCTACAACTTTGAATTATACACAAAAATGGCAGACTTCTCTCCTTGTTCTAAAATTTCAGATGCCACACAAGTTGTTGATTCATTTCTAGAAGAGGTGGTGAGACTACATTGCATTCCAACATCCATTGTTTGTTATAGGGGTGTAAAGTTTAAGAGACATTCTTGGAGTACTTCATGGAAGAAAACTGCTCTGGATAAATATGCTAAATACAAGACCTTCGATTTGAACCTAGCACAATTTCCAACCTGGGGAGAAGGATGTGGGAGCATAGAGTTATTTTTAATGATTAGTTTTAGGGCTGTTTGTTTTGCATTAAGTTTGAGTTTTATTTGGAGTCTTAAGTTTTAATTTTAGGAAAGTCATGTGGATAGCATGTAACTTTTAATTAGGACTAGAATTAGTAGGTTATTAGAAGTTCAAATTAGTATTAAATTAGGATTCTTGGCTACTGTTAGTATATACAGTTATCTTTAGATCTCTAAATCAGTTTTTGTTATAAGATTTTAGTTTGAAAATAAACTTGAGGTTAAAAACCTAAGTTTTCTTGGTTCCATCTTTAATTTTACGGAGTTCTTAGTTTTTGTTTATTCTACCCCTATCTTCCTTGCATCAAAAGACTTAAGGTTAGTTTTAAGTGCAAATAACTACTTGAAATTTCTTAAAATATCTTATAAGTCCTTAAATTAAAAGAATGAAAAGAAATTAAGGATATTTAGGATATTTCATGTAACATCAGGTGGTTATCTGCATCTAATACAATCCTCAAGTGCTCATGTGCACATTTTAAAATCTCAGATCTTTATGTGTACCCACTTTAGACCACAAGTATTTTACATGCACATTTTTAAATCTCATGTCTTTATGTGCACCAATCCTAAACCACAAGTAGCTAAATTGTAATTTTCCTTGTAATTTATTTTATGGCTGTGTTATTCCCTTAGCATGTTGAAGACAGCGGAAAGTTGAAACAAACTTTAGATTTTGTAAGGTAGTAGATTCTCATCTTATGAATCAGGGTCGGTTACTGACTTCTCTTCTTGTGTTTCCTCTTCATTGTGAGGTCTATTGAAGCTGTGGTAGATTATGTTTTCTATTCATATTTTTACTTACTGCATTCATCAGCTTGAAAATTTCAAACCACACACCAATATGATTCTTCCAATTGAGAGAAGTTAGAGATGCAATAGAGATAATAACGTGTCTCTTTCACCAGGAGTTGCATCCTCGTGACAACGAAGATAGCGATGCCATTTTATATTGTTTTGGTGGTGGGTTGTATACTGTCTCTTAGAGTCTCTGGAATTTTCTAGCTATTGAAATGAGGTAAAAGTCCACGCGTGCTTGGTAAGTCTGCGGTGCTGTTAATGTTGCTGACTTTAACACTTTCTCATTGTCTTCAATTGCAAGCATTATCAATTGATCAAGAGGAATACTTTCTATTATTCTAATTGTGGCTATCATGTGGTTTGAAACATTATCGATTGGAGGATTGGAGGACTGAAGGAAGAATAGATTATGAATCAGCTTGAATGATATTTGTTGGATTTTCTTATGCAGTTCTGTATTGCTTTATCGTGCTTAAACATTGTGTGTGCATGTCAGTTGTAGATAGACATGCCCAGCCAAAGGCCCATTTTTCTAGCCTTGTGACTTCCTTTCTCACTGTCATGTATGCGTTTTCATTTTCAAAGGTGTGAATCTTCCATTGGTGCACTGATAAGTATAAAAACAGGAGTTCAGTAACTGTTTAATGTCTGTTTTGGTGGACTTTTAGAAAAAAAAAAAAAAATTTGTTCCCAAAAGAATTTAAGCAATGCATTTTTGAGTTCCGAAAAATCTTATAATCTTTCAAAATTACATACACCGACGGAGCTACCATGTGCATAGGACAAAGGGGGGCAACTGCCCCCCTAAGCTTTTGAAAAATGTTTAATATGATACATCAATTTTTATTTAGTACAGATTTTGTTTTTGATGTTTGAATTATAAGGACTATTTTGAATTTAAAGAAAATATTTAGGAGTTAGGTAGATTGATCATTTCTCTTTTTGTAATCAATTCTTAAAACAAATTATTTTATCTAGGTATGAAAAAAGATTTTATATTAATTGTACTTTCTTATATAATTTATATTTTATTAATTTAACAGTTAAATTAGATATTTTAATTAAAGTTTATTGATATCTATAATTATATAAAAAAGAAATTATATTTTATATGAAATTAGTATTTATTCACTAAACTTGCAAAAAAAAAAAGAAGAAGGTAAAAACCACTTTAAAATTAAGATGTTTTAATAAAGTACTACGAAAAAAGATTAATATAGTTTTTATGTGTACCCTAAAAATATGCTATTTTAGTCTATTTATTTAAATTAAATTTATTAAAATAACATAATTTTAAAATATTTTTTATAATTTTTTAAAGATTCAATTAATTAATATTTTTTCATTCTTTTATATTATTTATTTAAAGATATTGAATTGTATGTTATTAAAAAATAATTAAACATATTTAATTAATTCAAAATTTGACATGTATGTTTTAAGTAGTATATTTATACATAAAATTAGTGATTAATATAAAAATTATAAATCAAACTCTAAACTTGTAATTAAAAATACATATAACTCTACTATATATCCAACCACATAATTGATGGTTAAAAATTGATATGAATTATATTGATGTAAACTTATTATAAATGTAAGAAATTTGTTATCTAAAAGTCTAGTTTCGTCCCTGTACTTACAAACTAT